TCAAATCCTAGCTCTGCTACATGTACCTGTGTGACCTGAGAAAATGCCTCAGGGCCTCTGACCCTCCACCTCATCTTTGCAAAATGGGATCAAGATGTGTATGGTGCCCATACAGTGTCTGTATACAACAGGTGCTTAGAATTAGGGGTTTGCCATGAAGACAACTTCTTCCCTGGGCCCGAACTCACCCTGGGCAGTGTGCCAGGCTGCGACAGATGATGGAGGCAGAGAAAATGACCAGAACCAAGGCAAACATGTGACGATGCAGGCAGAGACCTGGAAGACGTTGTGCAATTGCATAGTGGCTGCCATTGGATAGGTGTCTGTGTCAACCTCTGGTAGTGATGGAGGTGACCTCGTTCGGAGAAAACTTCTCTACATACGTCCTGGAAGGAGCGGTCTCAAGATGAGGCCATCCAGAACTCACCGAAGAGTCCTAGCTCTCATGACCGTGTCCTCATAAGAAGACAAAGGATGCAGACACAGAGGAGGAGACCGCGGGAAGATGGCAACAGCCACAAAAATCGGGAGCCAGCCGGAGCTGGAAGAGGCAAGAAAGGGTCTTTCCTCGAGAGCCCAGAGGGCGTGTGGCCCTACTGACGCCTCAGTTTCAGACTTCTGGCCTCCATCCAGAACTGTGAAAGAATGAATGCCAACTATTTTGGCATTCTGTTTTGTTTTGTTTTTTAATTGGGAGTTAATACACATAGCATATCATTCCACAGTTCAATCACGTCAAGCAGTCTTGTACAATTGCTACCACAGTCAGTTTCCAAACACTCCTTCCCTTCCTAGACTCCGTGCTATCGGCTCCCTTTTACATGACCTCCCCACCCCCACGACCACCACGGTACCTCCCCAGAAACCTTTCTTCTACTTGTTCCTCCAGGTTCACCAATCCTGGGTTTCATGCACCAAAAACCAGAAAAACCTATCACACACATTTAAGAGGGTGACCCCCAATGACATAACACGTCCGAGATAAACCCCAACATAAACAAACAAAAACCAAAAAATATATATATAGGAAATGTGGAAAACCAGATCAGGTCCCACATGCATCAGACGGGGATCACCTGACAAAGTTTTAAGAGTTCAAGTCAGGTTCATGCCTTTGACCTTCTACAGTCCTCTCGCCAATGGAGGTTTACAGAGCAGATCAGTTGTCCAATAAGTCGAACACATTTTGTTTCATATCCTTGATT